TCTCAATCCGTAGACTTTTTAGGCTTCCGATCGCCAAGCTATATACATATATACCGATACCTCATGGCTGCAACCAAGAGCACGAAGAACAAAGGCGCAAGGGTGCAAAGGTGCAAAGCAAAACGAAAGATACCAAGCAGAAGAAGGGAAAGACGCAACCAGACAAGCGCAAGGGCAAAGATGTGAAGGAAGTGCGGAAGCCTGCGCTCAAGATGAAAGCGCCAGGAGGTGAGAGGAAAGAACCACGGCGTGTTACCTTTGCAGGGACGAAGGTAGTGAATCAAGGCAAGCCTAGTGCGGCCAAAGAGAAACCAAAGCTGGACGTGAGAGCAATTCAAGAGACTATCAACAAGATGGCTGATGCTGCGGCGGCTCGCAAGAAGGAGGCTGCAGCTACTGCCAAGAAAGATGCCAAGGCTGAGAAGATTATGGCTCTCAATGCAAAGGTTGAGAAAGTTCTTCCAAAGATCAAATCTCCAGCTGGTGTGACAACACCTCCCTGCAGGGTCCGCTCAAAGTCATCGCCAAGGCCAAGTCCTACTGAGAATGGGACTGAAAAACGAAAGAGTTCGGCTTTGGAGACAGCTGCGAAGAAGGCTCAGGCTGTAGCAGAGCTGGATGCTCAGGAAGGAATGATGACATTCTTGGAAGATTTGAAGAAGGAACTGCAGGTCAGGGGCGAATCTGTTTCTGACTCTGTGGCAGCCGTGTTGAAGAGCAAAGTGCTTGACGCAAAGGAGGCAGAAGGCAGCGATGACGATGGTTCAAACGCTGACACAGAGGCTGATGATGACGAGGGGGCAGCTGAAGGAGGAGACGAAGAAGGAGGAGAAGATGCGTCAGCAGAAGAAGAGGATGCGGAAGATGAAGAAGGTGCAAGTGTGGCAGAAGAGGAAGAAGAGGACAACGGAAGCGGTGAAAGTGAAGCAGAAGAGGAAGACGAAAGAGAAGGCAAATGTGAAGAGGAAGAGGATGATGATGAAGAGGAGGACGGAGAGGGAGATGGAGAGGAAGAGGAGGAAGACGAGGCAGAAGAAAAAGCCAAGGGCAAGCAGACAGAGCTTGCGAAAGTCGTTGAGGCCACCAAGGAATAGTCAAAAGAGCTTCGCAACAGCGCCTCTACTCAACTTATACTCGCTTGGGTTTTGCTCACTTACGAAGGTTACTTCTAGAAAAGAACAGCAGCGCCATCATTAGATTCCCGTCTTCCGTCGCTTTCTTTCCTTCGCTTTCTGAAAGCAGCTGAGGTTCGACCAACAAGGTTGAGTGGGACCGCTTCACGCGGCAGGCTCAGGCGAAGTCATTCCCCGACAAGCTGAAGCCGATGCTCACCAGGCAGAAGACTGAACTGTTCAACATTTGGCTGGACATGGGGGAGAAGTGGGACCGCACAGAGGCGGAAGTGCAGCGAATCCAGCAGTCCTCCAACTTG